GGGAAATACCATCGCTTGCGGCTGTGCCCCTATGCTCTGAGCAGCTTTCCTGCCCCTCTGAGCATCTTCAGGTCCTACCCCAAGAGCAGATGTGACATCTGGCCTAGGACAGCCAAGTGGCTATGCATCACATGAATAGTGACCCATGCTAAGACACTGCTGCTGTTGTCACTAGGCTTAACATCAAGGGTGAGGACATCTGCGTCTTCCTTTGTAGGTTTATTTGCCATCATTCTCTCAAACGGCCCTAGAAACAGTGATCACTCTGCTTTATAAATGAGGAAATGGTGTGTGGCAGGTGTTGTAAACACATGTTCGATGGGTTCTTTCAAGAAAGCGTCTATGTTAGAAAATGGGTCCTGGCTGGCAGGGGTCCAACAGCTGTCTCCATGTGTGCAGACTTTTATTCTAGAAGGGTGCTTCACCCTATATGTGATCTGCCAGCCTCACAGAAGGCAAGCTGACCTTCTTAATTCAGCTCCCCTATTCCTGTCAGTTGTTGCATCGCTGGACAATATTTCATGACAGCTTTCAGCTCCATAGTTCTTATGAAGAATTTAACTGAAGCAAAACAGAATTTAGGTGGGCAATCTAGCTTTGCATCTCTCTCTCTATCTCTCCATCTGTGTCTGTTTCTGTCTCTGTCTTCTTCTTTCTCTTTTTCACATTATTTACAACTCTGGATTTATTACAAATCATAATAAATACGATTGCGATTTGAAGAAACAAGATCACCTGCTTTATTCATCAGGGTATGTTAAATAATAAAATATCCTTACTGTTTTCAAACCACACGAAGCCTGAATATTCTAATACCAACTTTCCGAAGACTCATTAGTAATTAACGAAATCATTAAGAATGGTTCACGGTGACTGACACCCTCCTGGCAGCCACAAACTCCTCTTATGCTTTGTCGAAATGTCACTGGCTCCACAGGTTTGATTTTCATGGTGGGAGTGGGAGTGGGGGTGGGGGTGGAGGGGGAGGGAGTTTGATTTCCCAATAGCTATCGGCTAGAATAGAAAGCTGTGAAAATGTTCCTCCAAGTTTCTCCACTTAGGAAGCTGTGTTTGGAGAAGTTTTCTGAAAAACCTTTCATTCTTCCAATGCTAGGTTCAAGAAATCCTGCTAATGTTATATTTTCACTGAAATTGTATTGTATGGCTCAGCAAAGATGTAGTGTTGAAAGTCACCCTCTTTTTTTTTTCCTCTTGTTTTCACACATTTCCCTCCTTCTTGGCATTGCCTAGATGTATTCTCCTTTTCTCCCTTTTAGGAACAGAATTTGGCATAAATAAATGATAACTGAGAAAATGGTATGAATGGACAAGTACATGCAAGATTCCTCCAGCCTCCCACTGTAGGTCATGGTAATTTGTTGTAGCAAGTGGTTATCCACAAGAAAGATGGTGGTTCTGGTGGCTGCTGTCTAATTTGTGTTTTAACCAAGAAACCCACATTCTTTCCCTAATTCTTCAAAATGGAACAGGAACCCCCAAAAGCCTCTCCGACCATTAACATCCCGAAACTGTTTAATCAAAATGGACTGCTTTGCCGAGTACGGTCCACAAAATGGAATTTGGTACATTTCATACCGCAGTGAATTTAAATTGTATGGAGCTGATATTTAATACAAATGCAAGTACCAGTGGAATCTGCATACTTAATATTCATTCTCCAACTCTCAGAATTAAGCGGTTGATCTATGGGACACAAAGGGAGCATCCTTCTCTCAAAGAGAATATTTTATGACCAGGCAGTTTAAAAGACACTGACATAAACAACTGTTTGCAGCTTGCTCTCTTTCTCTCTCTCTCATCTTCAAAAGGCAAAAAGTACATGTAAGGACATGCTGTTTTAGACAAAGCATTTTAGAAAATCACTTGAAATGTTTTCCTTTTCCTTCAGGGACAACTGAACCTTTGATAGGTACTCAAGAGAGTTCTTATAATTTAGTTTATTTCTCTTATTTTCCTGGGTGGGGGGAGCACAAAGAGACAGTTTGAAGGCACAGAGCTGAAGCCTACTTTCACTTGAAAATAAAAATCATACTGCTTAAACAACAAAAACGTTATTTATGGTTTTTACACCATGACCGAACACACCAGATTTTCTAGGACAGTGTCAATTTCAAATGTATAGCTAAGTTTAGCTTCATTATTGTGCCTTCATGTGAATTTCACCTAGACAAATGAATGAAATAGAAAACAACTATTTTGCTCCATCCCTTGTCCTAGTTTTGAATTCCTAATATAGGGTTACTCTCCTCTACCCATGGTGATATTTGGAAAGCCATTATGGAAAGGACTTCGTTTTTTGAAGTTATGCCTCACAAGTAAAATGCGCATCCTACATCCTTCCATTTCCTTCAAATGCTTGAGGGAGAAGGAAGGCGCTGGGTCTTCACCTGCCTCACTTTCCGTAGAGAACACAGAGGTACTGAGAGCTTCGAGTGGCTCCGGACCTGCCACACTTCAAAGTGGTAAGTCCCGAATTTATCTCCTGGACTCCAGAGCGGGCCCCCTCTGCACTCTGCTCAGCTGGGAGAGTAATCGCAGTGGAATGAGGATCGCATGAGCCTCAGGGCTGTGCACTCTGGATGCTTTGAAATGGGTTTTAGTAGTCAGCCCACTTATTGAGTGCTAGGTGCTATCTGTGGAGTGATAAAGATATGCATGATACCATCTCTGTCCTTACAGGGCTTCAGATGTATTTAGGGAAGCCAGGAATGTGCGCATGAAATAGAAAGCCAGCATACAAGGCGGTGGGGTGCCTGCCATTTGCTGCAGAAGACGCAGCAAATAAGGACTGATAAGGACTACAGTTATTCAAGGCCTCAGGGGAGGCCAGGGCAGGACTAGAAATATAGTCTCATCAAAGACATGGGGATCCCAGGAGGAGAGACCTGAAGGGTTAGTTTCTAGTTCATCTGAAATTTGATATTCTAAAAGCTTTCTTTAAACGACACTTTTATAATTCTCTCTTAAAAAATTCAGTCCATTTTGTCCTTTGCCATTTGTGAATTGGGTTATCGGTCTTTTACTTATTGGTCTATAAAAGCTCTTTTATTTTAGAAACATTAATAATAAATATTTTACGTAGTTAAGAAAATTTAGTTGCCACGTAATGTCTTTTCCATATGGTAACAAATACATAAAGGAGAGAGGAAGGTCAAAATGTGTGCTTTATGATTTCTTTTAAAATTTTTTAAATTTTTAATTTTTATGGGTACATAGTGGGTATATATACTTACGGGGTACATGAGATGTTTTGATACAGGCATGCAATGTGTAATAATCACATCAGGGTAAGTGGGGTATCCGGCACCTCAAGCATTTATCATTTATTTTTGTTACAAACAATCCAATTGTAGTCTTTCAGTTATTTTTAAATGTACAATATGTTCTGTTGACTGTAATAACCCTGTTGTGCTATCAAATAGTACATCTCATTCATTCTATCTAACTCTATTTTTGTAGCTAGCAACCATTCCCCCCGCCCCTTCCTAGCCTCTGGTAACCATCATTCTATTCTCCATGTCCATGAGTTCAATTGTTTTAATTTTAGCTCCCACAAATGAATGAGAACATGTGAAATTTGTCTTTCCGTGCCTGTTTTATTTCATTTCACAGAATTCCCTCCAATTCCCTCCCTGTTGTTGTAAATGACAGGATCTCATTCTTTTTTATGGCTGAATAGTACTCCATTGTGTATGTGTACCGCATTTTCTTCATCTAATTTGTCTGTTGATGGACATTTAGGTTGCTTTCAGATCTTGGCTATTGAGAATAGTGCTGCAATGAACATGGGATTGCAGGCATCTCTTCAAGATACTGATTTCTTTTTTGGGGGTATATAGCTAGCAGTGAGATTGTTGATCATATGGTAGCTCTATATTTAGTTTTCTGAGAAACCCCCGTACTGTTCTCCATAGTGGCTGTATTAATTCACATTCTCACCAACAACGTAGAAGAGTTCCCTTTTCTTCACATCCTCGCCAGCATTCCTTATTACCTGTCTTTTGGATAAAAGCCATTTTAACTAGGGTGAGACTTTATGATTTCTTGGTGAACAAGGAAAGGTGTTTAAGCTGTTCCCACCCTTCGATGGACATGTTCTCTCCTCACGTACTTAGGTTGTTGATGAAAGTCTAAGTGATTAATTTAAGCCACGTCAGAATAAACCAAAGTGGGGGTCCCAGCAGAATCATTAACTCTGCAACACCCCGTTGTCTGGATCTTCCAGTGAGAACAGTGAGAAACTCCAGAGTTTTATGGACTTTAAGATAGCTCTTCTGAGACTCTTTGGATAGGATGCAAAGGAAAATTGTTTCCTCAGGTTGGGGGCTGAGGGGGGCTGTGAGATCCAGAGCTGGTAGATAAACTCCAGGTATGCACCTACCATGCTCCCCAAGCAATCTACAATGACCTTCACATGCCCTCCAGGATGGCCCTGTGAAAAGCGTTACTCCATTCCTTCAGCCCTCAGCCTTGCTCGGCTTTCTAGAGCCTGTCTCACACCGGCAGACACCCCACGGTTATCATTCTCTCTGCCCTCAGCAACATTTACCAGTTAGGGGGAGAAATAAGGCCAGAAGATTGTTGCTATGGGCTCTGCTTTGTGGAAGTTAAAACGCTGGAGCAAGAATCTGATTGCTTGATAGCTCCATCTCTCTCTCTCTCTTTCTCCCTCTCTCCTGCCCTCCTACTCCCCGCACCTTCTCGTTCTTTTCCTCTCCCCTCCACCTCCTCCTCCCCACCACGCTCCCCCACCTTTTCCTACTCGTCTCCCCTCCCTCCACTGGCCTCCCGGTCCTGCCCCCACCTTGGACTGGAGGAGAGCCTTACAGGTTGTCAATGAAACATGGAATTATTTCCTTTGATGGCTTAGATAATAGTAGGAGCCAAAGCAATGAGTGAGGTCGGCTGAAACCAATGCAGTCCTGCCCGGGACTGGAGAGCCAATCGCAAGAGCAGAGGGCGGGGCGTCGGCGCCAGCAGATAATTGCTAAGTGCATCGCTAGCACAGTTGGTCCGCGCCGCCGAAAGGTCTGGTCGCAGAGACAGGAACGCGTAATCCTCAGCGTGCTCCAGCCCACAGCTTCGCTCCACTGCTCGGCAGGGCAGCTGGCCTCTGGGCGCCGGCCCCTCTGCTTCGCGGAAAAGGTACCTGTGCCTGCGTCCCGGGGGTGCAGCGCCTGCGTCTCCATTCCCAGTGGCTTTGCAGTTTAGCTTAGGTGGAGGGATTGCAGAAAGAAAAGTTTCTGGGAGGAAATGTGACAAAGGTGGGAAATCGCTGTCTTTTGTTGGGAGGAAAACAAGCGGACAATTTGGAAAACTTCTGCGCTGGCAGGAAATGGGCTTGTTTACTACTCCTAATTAGCTGCGCTCAGGTCTATCTAAATAGGTCTGCTCTTCGGGTAGGGTGTCTGCAGGGCTGGGGTGGAGATTCGGGGGTGCTGGGTGAAAGAAGTTGAATCCCAGGATGTGCTGTTTCCTGGTGCACCCATCCTGGGTAGGCTGGTTCCGAGAAACGTGATTGGTTGTTTGTGTTTTCCGCTATAGGGTCTGTCCCCTTCGTATTACCTTGATCTGTCTTCCCCAAACTATTGTGACCTTCAAATGGAGTCCTTCCTCAAACTTCTGCCCCCTGCCCTGTCTCAGTTCATTTTAGTTGGTGGAAGGAGACATTCCCTGGGGTGGGGGTGGGGGGTGGGAGGGCTGTTCTGTTTGGCCTTGTGGACACCTGCGTGGCAACTTGGTGACACACCAGCAAAACAGTTCTCAGAGGAAAAGAAATCACATAATCACTTACCTCCTGAAAACTCTGGAAGACTTTCCAGGCTTGGGGTGTCCTGAAAAAAAAAAAATGGGATAGAGTTCGATTTGGTCCCGGGTGAACTTACACCCTTGTCCCCAGAAGGGGTGCCTGGCCCTGAGTATCCCCGCAGCTCTGGGAGGTGGAGGCTGGTGGAGGGGCTGGCTCCATGTAGGTGCGCAGGTTGTTTTGGTGCACAGGTGCATTTGTGGCAGAGGTGGTGCTGAAGAAACCATCCACACTGCCTCTGCTAACTGCTCTTGAAGTAAAACAGCTCACCCTGGCAGGCAGCTGATTCAGCCCAGAAGCACCCTTGAGCGTTCTAAATCGAGAGACCTCAGGGGCCTCTCTTGCTCTGAGACCCTTGGGAAACTCCCTTCTCCCCCTCTCACCTCCCCCACCTTTGGCTTCTGTCAAAGGGAGGTATTAGGGAGGTGAGTTACTAGGAAGCAGGGTCCCCATGGGGAAGCAGGTAATGTGCTTGGTCTTGAACTTCCTTCCTCTTCTGCGATGGCAGCTTCTGCTTGTGTGCCCGCTGCACTTCACCAGGTGCGCTGCGTACCTGAGGGATACTCCGAAGCTGATAGCCTGGGGCTGATCTTCCAAGCCTCAGGGGTGTTGAAGGGTTCAGGTGATTTTCTTCCCTTTGATTTCTGTTAAACCTGCAGCTGGGGAGTTCGATTCCCAGTCCAACAAGAGTGAATGTTGTGGGTGGGATTCTCTAGTGACACCTCTTCCTCAGGGCACCTTTCAGCAGAGATGCAGATAAGTCTTGATTCTCCAGCTCCACAAATCCCTTTCACTTTTTCTTATTTTCTTTAACCGCCACAACAGATTCTCCTCCACCTCCTGTAGGCAGCTATTTTGGATGGGAACTGTGATTATTGAAGTTCTACTCACAATGGTTAAAAAAATCCCTGCCTTTTTCTTTTTTTTGGTCAAAATACCATCAGCTTTCTCCTCTGCACATCGGATCTGACAGTAAGCACAACAAATTTGCAGCCCTGCCAATTATAATCTCTTTGTATTTGGGGGACCTGGAGTGGAATCCAAACTTTTCCCAGCTGGTGGGCATGGTTAGTCGTGGACCTCGTCCTCTGTGGCTTCTCTAGGGCACGAGGCCCCCAGGGAGCCCAGAAGAAGCAGCCCCCGGCACAGGGGGGGATCTTACATGAGAGCATCTTGGTTTTCATGAAGGCAGTAAGGAAACTGGAAAATGCTTTGAGTTTGAGGATTGCAAAACGGGGGGTTCCCTTTAATTGATGCCGATCTATTGGATTTCTATCGTGATAGGAAACATTAAAAGTAAGGCAATTGAAACAGCTCCTGAAGAGTGAGTCATGCACAGAGGGAAGAGGCAGTGTGGGGGAGGGGGCGGAGGGGGCCTTGGAAAGTACAAATGGGACACGCTGGAGTGCTCGCTTTCCTTCCCTCTGCCTCCCCCTCATTCCTCTTTCTTGTATTTCCTCATTCGGAACAGAGATCATTAAAATAACAACTTTAGACCAAAAAAAAGGATCCTAGGAGCTGAAAAATATTTGACAAAGTGCAAAACATCCTCACAGCTTCACCTTGGTTGGGGTGAGGTGTGAAACCCGGGACCCAGCGCCTCCGCTACCATCCAGTTTGGAGAATCTAATTGCTGGTGTTAGACTGATTAGCTCCTTGTGAATCTGCGCACCTGTTTGTGTGTGCAAGGACCCATGGATGCTCAGGAAATTAAATGTGTTACTTGTCATTTCATCAAACATGATGGCTTTAGCCAGGACCCTGGGTAAGCACCATCCACAGACCCAGTGTTTTCTCCTCTTCTCAGTTGGCCAAAGTGGATCTCTCTTAACCTCTGTGGTGGGGAGGGGTTGTGTCTTTCTGCTTTTCCAAGCCCCACATGAGTTACCTGGCAAATAAAAGTCCTCTCCTTACTCCTTTGTCCCTCCATCCCCGTCAGCCTTCTGTTACCCCTTTTCATCGTAAACAGTAAGTAATCTTTTTGCCAACCTACTTGGATCTTGTCATTTTTATGCTGATTTTTCTCTTAAAGAAAATTGTCCTCTGAAATAAGATTGAAAACATATTAAAATTTTTATCAGAGAAGAGCCTTTCTGCCTTCTACTTTAAAATTTAATTTTGTGGTTTTGGGGAAATCTTCATAAGTACATCTATTGTGATAGTTGTTCTGGGAAACACTTTTACCTTGTTTTTTTCTGTGGATGTGTGAATTTCCTACCTGTCCTAGGGAAAGGTGTGTCTGGAGATCTGAAACCCTCTGGAACATCTCAGAAAGTTGGAGAGGCTGGAGCACAGTATTTCTGTGTATTCAAGGTGGGGTAAAGGCTGTTTTGAAACCTAGGCCCTGAAATGTATTCACCACACTCTGTTATTTTCCCTCTTCATCTTTCATTCAGGAAAATTTCGTAGCCAAAATTATGAGTGAATAGTTCATCCGACTCACACTCCTTCCCATGCCCCTCCCTCCCTTCCCCGTTGGGAGATATTTCACACTGAAGAAGGTACCTGAGTAATCTTGCTCAATCTGACATGTACGGGTACCACTCTTTCCTGGTTCCTTTTTGTTTCTTCCTTCATGTCATTTCAGGGTACCCCAGGGTGGAGATCTACTTGTAGATGCCTTGCACACCTCACTCCCGAAAGGGTTAACCAGGGGACTTCAGGAATTGTGGGATTCCAGGAAGCCTTACCTGGGGGAGCAATGAGGTAATCCTTTCCCCCAGTTCGGTTCTATGCAGACCTCCCCAGAGCACCTGGGGCAGTGCAGCAGACCTGCAGACCTGCGTGAGGCAGACAGGGCAGATGCTTCTCAGCACAGTGCTGTCTGGCACCCAGGGAGTCCCGCCAGGTGCAAGCGCTTGCTGTGCCACTGCCCTGAGGCCAGCGCCCGCTGCAGCCCCGTGCACAGAGCTGACCTTGGAAACATTAGCACGCAGGGAAATTTGTCTGCTGTGCACTCAGTTTCTTTGTTCCCCTACATCTATTAATAGTTGGAAAGGATCAAATCTACTCATTCATACTAAGGTGTGAGCAGTTAATAGTGTTACCACTTCAGAGGCATTTAAGTTCTTAAAGGAAATCAAAGATGTGCGTATGTCCTCACTTGTAAGGGGGAGCTAATCACTGAGTACACACGGACATGAAGAGGGGAACAATAGACACCGGGGCCTACTTGAGAGTGGAGGGCAGGAGGAGGGTGAGAATCAAAAGCCTGCCTATCAGGGACTATGCGTATTATGAGGGTGATGAAATAATCTGTACACCAAAACCCCACGACATGTGATTTATCCATTATAACAACCTCCACATGTACCCCCTGGACTGAGAATTAAAAAGTTGGAAAGAAAAAAGAAAAAAGATGTACATAGTCAATTTCCGGGCACGTGCTAGTGGGATTAGGCAGACCGAGTTTGGACACGGAGCAGAGTGGGGAACGGTGGTCTGGCTGGTCCTGCTCTGACTGGTGCTGAAAACATGCTGCAGTGTCCCAGGGCATGGTGATGTTACCATCTGGGCTCTGGTACTTGAGCTAGATGCCTCAGAGTTGACCTTGGGTATGTGCTTATGTGCCCGTTCTGACTTTCGGTTCTTTCAGACATAGAGCCAGAGGTCAGGACTAAGTTCTCACAGGCTCCGTTCTGCTCCAACCTTCTCTCTTGATTTTGCCACAGAGCCCTATGTCCCACTGCAGATGCTACAGCTCTGGAAGGCATCGGAGCTTGCAGAGCATCCTCCCATACGGGCCGTAGTGATCAGCGATGCTTTCAGAGCTGGAACCCACGAGGGCAGCTCGGAGGAGCTGTGGATGTTGTACCAGAAGAAACACAGGATGAGGGCTGATGTAATAACTGATTTTGGTTTAGGAGGGGATGTTATATGGAGGATGGCGACCAGCTGTTCTCCATCTCCAGCAAGGATTGAACTAGAGAAAATAGACAGAAATTGCAGCAGATGGACTTAGATTAGGTATGAGGAAGAATTTTCCATCAGCAAGAGATGTTAAAAAGGGAAGGTTGTTGAGCCTCTATGTTGATCTTTAGGAAATGGATAAGCAGGGGCTTTTAGCTGGGGGAGAAGCTGTGGATCTGTGAGGAGGGAAAGTCAAGGGCCATCATGTCCAGGCATCTGTGCCCTATGCTGATGAGAACCCTGACCTGTGTCTCCAGAGTCTCACCTTCCCTCTGGGGCTATTGAAGTGGCCGAAAACCAGAGTCCCTGGGATGAAGGAGAAAGGAGTGCAGCCTACCTGGGGTGCTCCCCCGAGCCTGGAGACCCCTACCCTGCCTTGTGCCAGCTGCCACCTGGACTGGCAGATCCTGTCTATGGTGTGGGAATCTTT